AAACAAAAGGTCGGTGACGTAAATACGCTTTATCAAGCGCTAAGCTACGGCAGCCCCGCTGCATACTATGGGCATAAGCCTTATCGTGCGCTTTGTAGCCCATCAGACAGATATGCGAGTATTTACTATCCATTATCACAAAGGACACATACTTGTAGAGACGTGGCCGTCGGATTGACGACAAGCGCTACCAGGTGCAACGGTAAGGCGCGTACCTCGCACATAGGAAACATTCTTTCCAGAGACCGCGTTGATCAACGCACAAAGGATGTTCATCGGCCGCCTCGCTGGCACCGAAAGCTTCTCAAGTACCAAGTACTTACACTTGCTTAGCTTAACGAGTACTCTATTTGGAATTCAAGCTATATACATGTTTTACTCTATAACAATTTTCCCTTTATAGTACAACCATACCAAGTACACTTCATCATGGTTCTTCTGCACTTCGCTCTTGAATGCTATTTTAATAGTCTCATTGTTTAAATCTAAAAAAATATGCTGTTGTTCTTAAAATTCCTTTGCAGCCATCCATGCCATAACAATGCGATCCAGGTATATGGTGCAGTCGAATAAACGGATTAAAACTTCGTTGCTTTTTGTGGTTGGTTTGCAATTGACAAATAAGGAAGTTAGTCTACCAGGTGAGATGATCATTGCATCGTGTCTATCATACATGGATTATGGCGTCGTGTCTATTTGCAGTAAGTTTGGATATCCGCATTTGATCAAAATAAATGCTAATTGAAACTAGGGTGGGTTGTATAGGGAAGTGCTGGACATGTACTTTGATTGATGAATCTTGATCGTCACGGTCAAGGGCAGATAGTAATATGCATGGCGCTGATAACGATGGAAAACTGCGTGTGATTTACAATGATATTGAGATCAATATTGTAGCATTCACGAACGTTAGGACGCTTTTGTGCTTTTATAAATTTGGTGATTCGTGGCTTTGAGTGATGAAAATGGATGTGCGACTTTTGAGTTAAAAGTCTGACTCGTCATGATATTCACCGTCTGGGAAATAAAGTACGGCCGATGCTGCAAATCATGCTCGAATTGCAGATGCAACATCCGGTGGTGTTGCTCTGTATTCCACAGCTTGTGTGTGGGCACGTGGTCAAAAAGGTTCTGGTGAAGATGGAGCACAAATGTGACTTCCCTTGAAGGAGTCACAACTCTATCGTCGCATCTGGATATGGCTACGCTAAGCACTACGCTTGTGTTGTCGGATCATAGACGAACTTATTAGTGTCTGTATTGCAATTATTAACATTCAAGAAATGACATGGAATGAATCTGCTCTGAGTGCATTTTTTTGCAACACATCTAAGAGAATAAAGTATTTACTCGCCGGACATAGTAATGGCAGATTGATGAAGTTTGACCCAAACATCTTTCAAAGAACGTGAAAGTCTCTCGCTCTCAACATTCTGTTATGTCTCCACAGCGCGTCTTGCATTTTCGTCTGAAGAAGAGTTTACAAAATTAGGATGTTCGACGACAATCAGAGCTTCACATCCAACCTTTTCATCTCTTTTGGAGGGCAGGTCCAGGTCGTGTTGTCAACGATCCAGACTTACACAAGTTGAGTGTGCTGATTGCAAATGTTACAATGGAGTGTACCGGTGAGATGCTCAACCAGGGTTTTGTAAGTTTATTCGACGATCAGACGTTTGAAATGCCGAATTTGTATCACCTAGATAATGCTCTGTAGTCGTCTGCCACTCCTTCGGCAATGCCGTCGGGACGACTTGTATTCACAAGGAAAAAGCAGAGCTGCACCGAAGTTGTGTATTCATGTTTGCCGTCACGGGTTTTCGAGGGGAGCGCCGATCGCAGTCAATCACTGGATAGGAAATAAAGAGCTTTGCGTATTGTTTAAATCCTGTATGAAAGGTGCAAGCAAGTGTTGAAGGTAAGGTACAATCATCCAAGTCGAGCAAAAAGTGAAAAGTAGCCCGTCTTTAAATGCATACATCATGGTCACACGTTAGTGCTGTACTATGTCAAACTACGCGGGGATTTTATTCGAGTTAGTGACCTAATGAGATCGATCTCGTTGTTGCTACGAGCTATGGTATGTACAATTGAAGAAGTTGCGATTGGAGTTATCGGTGACGATACTTACATATGCGGTAAGACGGAATTTACCTACTGTGCAACCCTTCAATTTTTCTTGCCAAAAGATCGACCTGTGTAGTCGGCTTGCGTGAGTCTTCCTCTAGTTACAGTAGTCACTAATCATTTGATGTCTTTGGTGCTGTCAGATGTATTGTGTTTCGATAAGCGATCAGCAAGAGTCAATTTTTTGTTCCTAGTACGCATCAAGCAAGCTGCACAACTTTTAAAGAGTATTGGTGAATTCTAAAACGCATTTTTGAGAATTGGCAATCAATGTTTAGAACTCGCAATGTCATTAATAATATTTGGTGGAAGCTTTTCTGAACATGCCGAAACCTTAGATTATGAAAGTCGCGGACAAACTTTACAATGATGGGTTGCTGGATGGTACGGAAGCGTCAACTGTGAAAAAATTTACTTTGCGATTCGAAGGACTTGCTTGATTGCACTGAGTAGTTTTGCTTAAACATGGAATCAAGATGAAGGCCCGCTTGTATTTTAGGTTTGATGGGAACATCCTCCCGAATTAATACTCTCTACATATTGCTATACTGTTTATTGCATGATTATCGACAGGTAACTTTTCATCATGAGGGAGAAGAGTGCACACAATCCAAATAATCTTAGTCATACGTCCATGGATTAGTATTCCATTCATTCCCAATCTATTCTTTATCGATTGTAGTGACCACAGTGAAAATTCTCGCGAAACGAATGTTCCATCTGCTATGCCAAGATTGGTGAGCACTACTTATGTGTAAATTGGTGTGGCACAAGTGTCATATTCGATTCGCTTGAACCATGCTTGAGCATCATCCCGACCTCTTTCTTCATGATTGTTCAGGTTTCAGGAGAATACTAACAATAACCACTTTTCTGCTTGATAATGATGCCGCCAAATCTGCGTTTACCTGCATATCTACGTTCTTTTCGCAGTACAACGATTCTGCAGTTTTATGCTAGCACCACTGCCGCGATGCTCGAAGAACCTGTGCTACATTCTAATTTAAACACATATTGTATGACTATAGTAGCGCTTTCCTACTCGATTTTGAAACGTTTCACACGCTGGCAGCAAGTCACATTGTAAAACACAAGCTGTATCGTTGATGTTCTACCTACAATCTCTGCTTGCCCCCACACCAACCTGCGTTGTGATATAGGATACATACGAAACGCCTCGCATCGTGCCATGCCATCAACTTATTTATTGATTTATATGTTTTGACGGTAGCTTCTCTCTTGACACCAGCGTACAAGTTTTATCTATCAAGTTTATACGGTATTAATGAGTTTCAATCTAAAAAAAATTGTAAAAATATAGGAATTAATCTCAAGAGTCACGTTGCTGGGTTGCAATGTGTCGGAACGAGTGGGATTTGACTACATTGACATCTCGACGTCAGCGTCGTGAGCCGAACGCTATGGGGACGGATTACTTGATTGCAAGAAAGACGACAAGCGCACAGGCGATGGCGAAACCTTCCGTTTTTTTTTCGCAAAAAAGATTTTTTTCTACTTTTGACAGGCTTAACTCCGAGGGCAGCCGTTTGTCTAGTCCGTATCGCTATCATCCGAGCCCTCGGATTTCCGACGATGCTTATGCCTTTTTCTACGTTGAAAGAAGTGATTAGAGACTGATATCCCTGTTCCATCTCAATGTTTAATTTCTCACTTAATTCTTCGATATTTGTGCTGTCGAACAGTTCTTGAGCGTCCGATGCGGCTTCTAACAGCCACATCTTCAACATCCGATGATGAAGACCGTGGTCGCTTTCTGTACGGTTTCATTCTCTTTTTGAAACCGGAGACTCCGGCAAGTTTCTGGTTAAGATCAATTGGCACATTAAAATTACATTATTGTCTCGTTCCTTGGGCTGCACACCTCAGTCTACGCACCTTGTCTCTAACAGCATCTAGCTTTTTCCTGTACTCCTTCATTTTCTTTTCTTCATCACCGCTCAGGTCTAGCTTGTCTAAATTCTCTTTTTTATACTGTTCCCACGTCGGTCGGTTTGGGTCACTTATGCGATCAGCGATCGTGCGCTCCTCCTTACCAGTCATTATGCGTATGAAGGCATCCATAGTAGCAGATTGCGAAGCCATAATCTTAATTCCATCATGAACTTTAGTTGCAGGCTTTAAAAGCACAATCGACTGATTACGGCTCTATACTAGACAAAAGAGGGCGCACGAGGCTGACGCACCGCTGCAGATGCCTTTCGCTTCAGCCGCTGATGCTCAAGTCGGTGGTCGTCGATTCGACTATCATGCGACCACTTTGGCGTGAGCTTATTCGCGCCACGGACCATGATGGCTATTTTTAAGTATTTACACCAAAAGTCTTATTATAAAGCTTTATTGAGCGAGTTATCTCTCTCGTGAAGAAGCTTATATCTTAGATCAACATGGTGAGTGACGCTGAGTCCAGCATAAACGGACAGCCCATAGCTGACGTCGCATCTGTATCTGACGTTGTCACAATTCAGAACTCATCCGGCCTCCCCCTCATCCGTGCTCCCCCTGACGCCTTGCGCTACGGCTTCTACAGTGCTAGTGAAGACGTGCGACCGATCCACGAAGTGCAGCGTTTGCAGACTTTGGTGCGTTACGTCTCTTAGTGACTCTAATCCAAACCGATTGACGATCGTATTGTTGCTATGCCACCAGTCTAACTGGGAGATTAAGATGTCGACGGTTGAGCAGGTTTACGGCAAGGCGGCAGCCATGCGTTTGCGTACAGAGAAGGCGATATTTGAGCAGTTTACCGTGAGAAGAAAGAATAACAGGTCTAATTGTTCATGTTCTTATAAAGTTTTATCTTGATGCTATTTATGTAGCGTCTACCTGGACTTCCCAGCTCGCACGCCGGTCTCGACACTCTAACTGGAGCGGATGACCAGATAGATTTTGCTGATTTTCTAAACGGTTGCATTGTATTTTTCCATTCGGGTAAATCTGAGAAGCTAACTCCTGCATCTGTTGATTACATTGCAGATCCCAATGAACACCCCGAAAATACGTTCCGTGTACATGAGGCTATGGAAGTGAAGCTCGCTATTTTCTAGGCAGCTTTCGGCGTGAAGCACAATTGGAGTAAGTGGTATGCAGCTGAGACATTGGGAGGCACTTGCACTTTCGCACGTTCGTATATTGACTAATGGACGGTTGATTTTGAGTGCTTCTTTCAGTCATATTTCATTTAAATGGAGCAATCTTAATACATTGTAGTTGCGCACGTCCTAGTTTGACGATGCTTCCGTATGAGATATTGGCGTTGTCATCAATGCTAAGCAGTGTAGATCTTCTTGTCGTACTGATGCCTCGTTTTGTAGAAGGATATTTCGTCGCAGCAAATACCGCTGTAGTCCTTTTGAAGACATTAACGAACACATGACATCAAGCCGCTCATCAACGTTGAAGCGCTTTTTCCCATCGTCTTCGTTTGTACTAACACCAGAAAAATCTGACCTCATTGCATCGATATTCTTGTCTGACGCAAGAGTCGATGAATTCATCATGTCTTTGCCACAAGAGCCGAAACCGTCGCACACAAGGTTCTGCTGGGGCTCAGCATCCGATAGACCCTCGTGTATGGCAACAATCGTCTTGCGTGCTGCCTCCTTTCGCACGATTTCATCAGATGCCAACTGCTCTAGGAGATGGAAGGCGTCTTCGCTATTCAATTGACCATTATTCACTAGAAATTCGACTTGTGCTTTCAGTACCAAGCTTTCTTCCCTAGTACCGTCATCTCTAGTCAACGAACTTTTTGATAATGCCACAGTACTTTCCGTCTTAACCAATCCCAGCACTGTTTTAACAGACGGATACATTGCAGCATGAGGTCCTGCAAGCTCTGCATTTGCTTTTCTCAAATTTAAGTATGAGAAATATTTTGTGTAGTGTTTCCACCAAGCTTTATCCGAAAGTTTCTTCAATTCTTTGTCTTGTAGCTCATAAAGTGCCCGAGCTGCTTCGGAGCTCACCCACTCCCAAAACATGCCCCACGTCACTGGCCCTTCAAATTGATCGTCTTGAATAACGGCCATCGCTCTATCAATTTCACCCTCCGAAACTGAGCCTATCGCAGCATAAAGCTTTTTCATCAGAGCAGCGCAGTCTTCTTTTGAGATTGTACCAGAAGCATCCGGGTCGAATTCGTCGAAAAGGAGACGTGCTCCAAGCTCAAGACGATCAATGTGCTCCTTCGCTTGCTGTTGACTTGTGAAATAACCTGCGGTTGATGCAGTATAAGCCTTGGACCCGGCAAAGTAGCCAAACAAGCTACCAGCAATGGCAGCACTCGTGGCGGCTACAATACCCACGGGTCCGGCCGCAACTCCAGCTGTGCCCCATATTCCCAACACTGATGCCACACTATAAATGCCGACGCCTGCTCCCGCTGCTGCTGCGATACGACTAGCGACAACTTCACCGCTTTTTAGTCTAAAATCGTGCATCATCAGCTGTTCCGTAGCCGTCGAAAGCATGTCTCGAGACTTTCGATCTGTGTGACGCTTGCGGTAATCGTAGTACTCTTTGCCAATGTCCACCAAAATTGACGCAATAGTCAGCGGAGCAGCAACGGCCCCACCAAGCGCTAAAGATGTTCGGGCCATACTGTTCGCAAGAACTACACCACCAGCAGCACGCATTCCGCTGTCCAAGGCACCATCTTTACTTGCCGCAATAAGACTTCTTATTGTAGTAGCAGAGTTGCTAGCATCTAAATGGTAGCGAATTATGACGCGTTCCGCCAGCTCAGCTCGTTTGGACTCCATAATCTCATTTTTCGTAATTTTTGCCAGTGAGGCCCCACGTAAAATGTCTGCTTTTTGTATAAAGCCAATTGTAAACTTACAGCATAAAAATTGCACGACGACAGATGATTGACTTTCCCTCCAATCTTTAACAGTGGCCAGTCCAAAAGGAGTGCTGACCGTTGATCCGGGAGGAAAAACAATATGTCTGTCCATCGACAAATCTGGGCTTTGGACTAACACTTTCTCCTCAATGTGCTTTTGATTTGTTTGGGCGTCATCACTAAAATGCATCGAAACCATATCCATGAGCTCGATGCAGTCGAAATACTCCTCCTCCGCTATCGCCTCTAAAGCAGAACTATTATACTCAGCGGCACAATAAAAAAACTCTTCAATAAGTTCGTCTTCTGCGGCATCATCCCATTGCTTCATAGAAATCACCGCTTGCTGAGCTCTTTCCACGTTAAGCTCATTAGCGGTAGTAGTAAGGCTGGAAGTAGCATTACTAACCAAGTCCAAATCATCTTTCTCCTTTCGTCCATCAACTTCTTGAACCAGCAGTTGTGTCGTATCAAAGTGCTGTAAATCGCGATACTCTTCGAGCAATAATAATAAGCAGTCACTGGGCATCTCTCTGACAACTGCAGCCTGACGCTTTCTCTTCGACTTTTCCGAGTAATTTGACCAAGCACTAACAATAAGTGCAGCACTTGCTCCAATAGCGACAGCACCACCCACGACAGACACTGTTCGTAGACTATAGGTTGAATCAGATCTGCCAGCAATTTTTGTTGGTGATGCAATATCATCCGCCAAAACCTCTTCGGGTTCCAAGTACATTACTGTTTCTCGTTGGTTTGCACCGATACCAACAGTACGTGACACACGAATGCGATCTGGCACAAATATATTGTCATGATTGTTTCGTATGAAGTCGCCTCGAACGGATGACGACGGACGCAAAGAATTTAAAACATTCGAATTTGAAGAAGAAAAGCGCGACTGCACCTTAGCGACTGCCCCTGATAGGTTATCAATAACGTCACGAAATGTAGCAATTGCCTCGTCAAGAGTCATACCGTTAATCGTGCCATTGCACACGAACTCTTCCTTCAAACCAGGTGGATCATTCAAATGCGCATCATACGCCTTTCGTGCATCAGCATCGGCAAGGATCTCATACGATTCCGCCAATAGCTTGAATATTTCCTCTGCAGACGCTTGCTCCTGCAAATCAGTTGTGTTGTTCGCCCACCGATCTGGGTGCCACTTCAGTGCTAATCGTTTGTAAGCACTTCTTATTTGCTTCTCCGTCGCATTTCGAGGAACACCAAGTCGTTTGTAAAAGTCCATTGAAGCATTGATTTGTATGGAAGTCGAACGATGCCCGATAGCGGCCACATATGCACTCATCAAATGCTGTAAGATGGCGTTTCCTGTCAAAGTGGAGTTTGCATCATTTCCTTCGTGCAGCGCCTTACTAATAGCCCCCAAATCTGAGCAGATCCTGTAATCAGCTCCAAATTTTGAAAGAAATATGTACGTTCCGCATGGCGAATACTGATAGTCGATGTTTTTCACAATATGGAAATCGCGTAGTTTCTGAAATGTGTTTTGAAGAATACTTAGACTCATCGATAGGTACGCTGAAGCTGGAGAAAGGGCCACGTCAGTACCTGATGAGGCTGCTAAACTGACAAAACTTGGTTGCATCTGAACAGGCAAAAGATTCAGCAGCGTCTTTGTCGCTTTCGTGATTGTGACGAAGCGCTCTGTAGTCTTCGCTACCAGAGCGGCCGATTGAGCAACATTGAGAACACTCGGTATACAATCAAATTCGTTGACAAACGTAACCACACGTCCGTCAAGTTGCAGCACCTCTAAGAACAAATTCAAGCTCAAAGATCCAACATACGGGGAGCCAAAGCCGAACGCTAGCATGTCTGGCATACCACGACGAATATTAGCACGCTCTTCCTCGGTCATACCTTGTATGACCAGCCGAAAGTCCAAAATCTCGCTTGCCTCGGAAGTATCCTTATCTTGTTTTTGCTGGTCATAGTCGCGTTTTTCCAGAAACAACCGTGTTTTCGTGGGCAAGTGTAGGTAAACTAGTTCGCAAAAGGCTAACTGTGCAATACTCCCACCTATAGAATGGCCGCACAACAGCAGTACTTTCTTAGCTTGTCGGGCCAGATGGTGAATCCCATGCAAGTCGAGTCGCTGCGTTCGTTTCCAGAATGGCGTGTGGATCCTAGCACCCCCATACCGGTAAACACAGGGTCGTGATAACGGCACCGCTGATCCTACAATTGTTTGAAAGATATCGGTTGGCTTGGTGGCTCGCACGACACAAAACAAAGTCAGATCGGATTGCATGAGGACGTAGTCGCGTGTAAACTTGATTATGGGCAGCTGGAGAGTATGCGGCAACGGTGATTTCCGCACATGCATTTCTAGCTCACGAATTGCACGGTCGTCTGCCTGTTTGTCAGCTTCATTGGGCTCCAATTCAGTCGCGGACAGTGCCACACACAACACGGCGGCATTCAAAAGTTCCGTCTCACTGGACGCCACAGCGCGCATCTGGTCACTGTCCACGAGTAAGTCGGGACACCACCACGCATATTTAAGAGTATTTGTCATTCTGTTCGTTAGCTTTGTAGCTGGTTGCACAACTGCAGACGTCGATACCATGGATGCGAATGCTAAATCTCGAATGGGTGTAACTTATTTAGTCCCGATTTTTGCTCTACTGGGAAATGCACCCATATCGGAAAGAACTGCGACAGGTCAAACTAACGTTGCCAACGACGACGCTTGAAGTCGTGTGCTGATGTCACGTATATTCATGTTTGTGTCAGCTCAAATGACTACAACATGCGGGATGTGCGGAAAGTGGGGCCGAGACATTCCATTCTTTTCAACAAGCTGCATAAACTTCGAGCGTCTTTTTTCTTTCAGAGACTTTTCTCGGCCTTACAACATCGGTAAAATTTTGGCGAATTTTTGGGCTAGTAGCTTTATGGCAGCCACAAGGTTATGATCGACTACCACCTCTACCACGTCGAAAACAAGACATACGCATAACTCTGCAAGCTACGTGTGAACACTAGAATAATTTCTACCGGGAAAAATTATGAGTTTGCACTGCATGTGAGTACAGTCCGACTGCAAGGCTCCTGATAAAGAGAATGACTGCGAAGGCATGAAGACACATCACTAGCTCAATGCACTCAATGTTGCACATAAAAGTGAGGAAGAAATGGAAGCCTAGGACAGCTACTATAAATTGTAAGTTAATTTTAGTGTTTTGCCTTGGTTGCTGTATGGGTTGTTGCTACGAATGTGACGATGGTTGTTGTAGCTGTGAAAATTTTCTGTGTACTCTGATCTACCTGGAACGCTGGCGTAAATCTTGGCACAATCTGAAATGACTCTTGATAGCATACTTGACCATGCTTAAACACAAGCTGATAAACATACCTAAAAAACTGTATTTGTAGAAGTATCTGGACCGGCAAATTCAATTGTGCGATATCTATACTTAGCGCCGTCTACATTGAGCTGAGCCACTTCTGCGTGGCGAATGCAGCTATCTTTTTGTCTTGAAAAGCCGGGTCTTGCAACTGTTTACTTTCGACAGTGGTAATCGCAGCTATTTTACATGTTGGATGTGGGCGCTGCGATAGAGCTGATCGTACTCAGGTACAACATGTGCTTTGGCGCAAGTAATGCATATATGACAGCTCCCTACAAGCAAAATTCTTCTTCGTAATACGTCATCATGCTGAGCGTATTAAATTTTGATGCTTATCAACAAGGCCTGATTTGACCAGTAACTCATTTTATTCCCTTATATCGCTTTTGATTTGAACATTCGTCAAGTTAGATGTATTTATTTGTTAAAATCTTTCCAAAATCATATCATCATAAAAAAGCAGCAATCAGTGCTCAGTTACTTTAGTGGTTCTCGGTCTCACTCCTTATCCTTGTTTGTTAGCTAATGCGGACTCGTAAAAGAAATTTTTCTTTGTGCAAGGTGCACGGCAACTCGGTTTCAGCAACGGCCACCCATTCATATTATGACTTATTAATTAGATTAGCTGTTCTTTTTTATATCGAGAAGAACAGCTTTCAAATTCGTTTATGGGCTTGTGCTGGCTGCATGTGAAGATTTTAAAATTGGAATATATATATATCAACAATTAAGTCTGTTAAAGCTAATTCTGAAATATAAAAGAGAGAATAAAAAAATGCCTCAACTTTTGCCATATATAAAAAAATATCCCAACTTTTCAAAAAAAAAAAAA